TCCTGTCCTGTCCTGTCCTGTCCTGTCCTGTCCTGTCCTGTCCTGTCCTGTCCTGTCCTGTCCTGTCCTGTCCTGTCCTGTCCTGTCCTGTCCTGTCCTGTCCTGTCCTGTCCTGTCCTGTCCTGTCCTGTCCTGTCCTGTCCTGTCCTGTCCTGTCCTGTCCTCTCCTGTCCTTTCAATGTTCAAGAAGCAGGGTTAGATTTAATTTGGCTTAACTGTTGGAGGTCTTTCTTAGTGTTCTGTGTGTTTGTGTGTTTTGTAGGGCTCTTTCCCAGGCAACCTGCAGCTGGTGCTGGTACTGAGACCCACAGCACTCTTCCAGCGGACAATCTCAGACATCTTTTTTAAGTTAAACAAGGATGAGTTTAAAATGAAGGTGCCGGTAAGCACACACACAAGGCACAAACTCCCACACTGAGGCATGTGGTTAATGAAGAGCGTAATGAGATGTATAGTACACTGACATAAGAGAAGTGCTCTACATTATGTACTGCATGTAGGTGATCATGCTCAGCTCTGTGACTGAGCTCCACAGTTACATCGACCGCACACAGCTCACTCAGGAACTGGGCGGCACACAGGAGTACTGCCACGAGAAATGGATTTCACACCGCACCGTGAGTACACACCTGTTTTTAACCATGGTAATGATGGGTGGACCACAGAAATGAAAAGTGGGCACACGATTGGTTTGATGTGTAAAGCACACAGCGAATGAATAAACGTACTGAGATACTGAGTGATATATGGTTACTCCTTAATACGGCCAGTTATTATAATACCCAGTTATTGGTTAATACCCAGTTATTATAATAAGGGAATTGTACAGACCAGGAGTTTGGGGTCAGTAAGACTTTTGTTTTGTTTTGTTTTTTAATGTTTTTGAAAGGTCACCAAGTTTGCATTTATTTAAAAAAGAAATGCAGTAATGTTATGAGATATTAAATTTTAAATAATATATAAATAATGTTTTTTTTGTTTGTTTTTTTTATCGGTTTTAAAATGTAATTTATTCCTGTGATGCAAAGCTGAATTTTCAGCATCATTAGTCCAGTCTTCCTTGTCACATGATCCTTCAGAAATCATTATAATATGCTATATTGCCTCTCAGGAAACATTTATTATCATCAATGTTGACAGTTTTGCTGCTTAATATTTTTTGTGGAAACCATGATACATTTTTTCAGGATTCTTTGAACAGAAAGTTCAAACAGGTTTTATTTGAAAAGTATTTTGTAACATTTTGAATCATTAAAAACATTTTAAAAGATGCGTTAATTGATCTAATTAACGCATCCTTTAAGTCTTTGCTGTTTTAATTTCTTTCAAATATTATTGACCCCAAACTTTTGAATGGTAGTGCAAATATAGTAATATATCATTCTAATATGCTATATTGCCTCTCAGGAAACATTTATTATCATCAATGTTGACAGTTTTGCTGCTTAATATTTTTTGTGGAAACCATGATACATTTTTTCAGGATTCTTTGAACAGAAAGTTCAAACAGGTTTTATTTGAAAAGTATTTTGTAACATTTTGAATCATTAAAAACATTTTAAAAGATGCGTTAATTGATCTAATTAACGCATCCTTTAAGTCTTTGCTGTTTTAATTTCTTTCAAATATTATTGACCCCAAACTTTTGAATGGTAGTGCAAATATAGTAATATGGCTTCGATTCATTAAATATATTTTTATTGGATCATAGTTAAAAAGCACAGTTAATATTGTCCCACGTTTTGTCCGATTCATCACTCACAAAATGGAAGGAGAAGTTGCATTATGGGATATACTTATATGCATATGCAGTATGCCACCGGTGAATTCTGTTCATTTTTCAAATGTAGTTACTTCGTGAAAGTGGAAATTTTATTAATACTATATTCATACTGAATACTTAATAGTATGATAGAATGCTATAAAATGCCAAACATATCTTAAATCTTGGTGCTTCATCATTATAATGTGGTATTAAACAAGCAAGCCTTCCAGGAGGATGATAGTCTTCACCTCAAGCAAATTAATTGCCTTTCTTCTCGTTCCATTTGTGGACTTGCTTTTAAGTAATCACAAATTGATTTGTCTGTATTGATCTGTGACTGCTGTATTTTAAGTACAGCACACTTGTTTGCAGTGCATGTGGATGTTTTTTATTTGGTGCACACTCAGCCATTAGTGTGATTGTGTTTGGGTTTCTTGCTATTGTGTGATTGGTGTGGTGTATGTGTCTCTTGGTTTGTGTTGTGCCTGTAGGCCATTGAAGGTTTTGCTCTGATGGTGAAGAAAACAGCACAGACTCTCCAGTCTTTTGGGACTGAGCTGGCAGAGACAGAGCTGCCCAATGACGTTGAGGCCACGTCCAACCTTCTAACCGTCCACACGGATAAGAAGGACAAAATGAAGGTCAGAAAACCCAGTAAAACTTCATTTCAGCATACTAGACAATAATTTACTAGATTGTACATTATCCTGCTAAAATACAGCAACTTAGCAAATAAGTAAATAAATGGGCATAAAATATTGATTTGAGTGAGTTCAAATTATTATAGTTATTATTGTTGGTGTATTTATTTTTTACTATTTTTTAATGAATTATAATATAAGAAGAAAAAGGATGCAAAATAATACTTGAAGTAGACTGATTGCTGTTAGAGCAATATACAGTATACTGGTGAAAAGTTTGGAATAAATACAGTGGGGGAGGGATTTTGTTCTTGCATTTGATCAAATATTATTTGATCACATAAAAGCAGTAATTGTGAAATATTACAACTTAAAATAACGGTTTTATTTTAACTTTTTTTATATATAATGTATTCCTGTGACGTCAAAGCTGAATTTTCAGCAGCCATTACTCTTTAGTGTCACATGATCCTTCAGAAATCATTCTAATTTGTTGATGCTCACAATTATTAAAATTGGTTCTTATTATCAGTTATGAAAAGTATTTGCTGCTTAATACTATTTGTGGAAACCATTCACAATATTAGTGTTTTCACTGTAAAAAAAAAATCTTAATTATATACAATAATGCAAAATAATTATATATAATATACATACATTTTACACAGTTTAGATATACGAAAAAAAAAGTCAGGTGTGTCATAAAGATTATATAATGTACTATGTTTCAGTATAGGGCCTAGTCCTTAATAAGGGGTCCAGTAAGATTATAAATAATTTAACGTGGATTATTCACATGGCTATAAGCTATAAACAAACCTTAAAGGGTTAGTTCACCCAAAAATGAAAATTCTGTCAGTAATTACTCACCCTCATGTCGTTCCAAACCCGTAAGACCTTCGTTCATCTTCGGAACACAAATTAAGATATTTTTGATGGAATCTGAGAGCTCTATGACCCTCCCATAGACAGCAATGTAATTAACACGATCAACTACGTGGATTATTCACATGGCTATAAGCTATAAACAAACCTTATAGGGTTAGTTCACCCAAAAATGAAAATTCTGTCAGTAATTACTCACCCTCATGTCGTTCCAAACCCGTAAGACCTTTGTTCATCTTTGGAACACAAATTAAGATATTTTTGATGGAATCTGAGAGCTCTATGACCCTCCATAGACAGCAATGTAATTAACACGATCAACGTCCAGAAACACAGCAAGGAGATTGGTAAAACAGTCCATGTGACATCAGGGGTTCAACCGTAATTTTACGAAGCTACGAGGATACTTTTTGTGCGCAAAAGAAAAAAAAATAACGGTGCGGCTGACACAGAACAGCATACACTGTTTGCTTTCAGAGGATATTCTCCAAAATGGCGCTAGGGTGACGCGGAGGAGATGATTTTGAATAAAGTCGTTTTTTTTTTTCTTTTGCTTACAAAAAGTATCCTCGCAGCTTCGTAAAATTACAGTTGAACCCCTGATATCACATGGATTATTTTACCGATCTTCTTGCTATGTTATGGGAGGGTCCTAGAGCTCTCAGAATTCATCAAATATATCTTAATTTGTGTTCCGAAGATGAACGAAGGTCTTACGGGTTTGGAACGACATGAGGGTGAGTAATTAATGACAGAATTTTCAATTTTGGGTGAACTAACTCTTTAAGTTTACATAAATAATTCATGTTTATCATTCGCGCTGAATAGTAGTTTATTTCATGTCGCTCTGTGTGTGTGTGTGTGTGTGTGTGTGCGCATACGTGTGTGCATGTGTGTGTGCGCGTGCAGGAGGACTTGAGGATCGCTCTCTGTCAGGGATCACAAATTACAGTTGAACCCCTGATATCACATGGATTATTTTACCGATCTTCTTGCTATGTTATGGGAGGGTCATAGAGCTCTCAGAATTCATCAAATATATCTTAATTTGTGTTCCGAAGATGAACGAAGGTCTTACCAGGGCAGCTGTGTTTTTGCATGCACAACAAGATGACTCACCTGGTCAAGATTATACAGCAAATCTACACACACACACACACACACACACACGTATAAAGAGCATTAACCAACAGGAACGTATTGAAATCCAGTTCTACTCACATGACCTTTCGGTGACGCAGCGTTCTGGGGTCTGGATACGTGCCTGTGTGTTAATGTCCACAGGCGCCTGCTGTCAGCCTTTATTATGTAGATGTGGCTATATTTGTTTGAGGTTTTTATTTATGGGTACTGTCAAACATACAGCATGAGATTTCAGAGCTGTAACAGCGGGCAGGTTTTTTTTACTTCAGAAGCTATCTTTCATTTCAGATGACAAAACAAATCATTTGTACTACTTTTATGATATGTTATGCAGTTTGTAAGCTTTCACTGTATGATAAAGAGCAGCTTGGACATTCTTCTAAACTTCTCTTTTTGTGTTCCACAGAAGAAAGTAGATGAGTTGGGTGAAGTATTCTTTCACTCAAGAAGTGTTTTCATCTCTGTTTCTAGGTTGCTTGGTCAGTTAGATGAGACTGAAACAGCATTTGATGATTTTTGGGATAAACATCAAACCAAGCTTGAGCAATGTCTACAACTGCGGCATTTTGAGCAGAACTTCAGGGAGGTGAGACACTAACTGGTGCATCTTAAATATCTGTTAAATATGTTTTCAGTAGGGATGCATAGATAAACCAGTGTTATTTTAGTATTATTCATGTACTTTTATAGTATTTATTAATATGCTTAACCGGCTTTATATTTTTGTTTTTCATTTTAAAGGTAGTTCAGGTTTTAGTGATTTTGATATGTGCTTTTGTCATTCTTTTTTTTTTATATTCATTTATAATTTATATTTCTGTTTTAGTAATTTTAGTACTTGAACTTAAACTTTTATTTTATGTCAGTTAGTTGCCAAGGTAACTTATTTAAATTAACAATATTTATATTTTATTTCAGCTTTATTTCAATTAAAGGTAGTTGATTAATAGGTGATTAGTTAATGAATGGTTAAAAGTTAATTAAAAATAATGTGTAATTTTTTATGGTTTTACTTGTAGTTAACAATATTGGATAAACAGATTATTATTAAATTATTAGAATTATTCATTTTAATTATACAATTAAAAATATTGAAATTATAAAAAAAATGAATGTTCTATTTAAAATCAGTTGTAATTCTAAATTGTAATTGCCAATTTATAACCAATATCTTTGAACAGGGGTTTTGATAAAGATATATTGTGCATCGTTAGTTTTAAGTGTGTGTGTGTGTGTGCATGTGGCATGTTGGATGTAGAATTCAGCAGAGATTTGTGTGTGTGTGTGTGAGTGAGGGTCTCTATGAGCAGTATTTGTAATGGCTGTTTTTCTCTGTGTTGTAGGTCAGAGCTCATTTAGACATGGTGTATGACAGACTATCAGGCTTCTCAGAGATCGGAATTAGCCCTGCCCATGTTGAACATATCTTGAAAGAGCTGACCAATCATGAAGAGAGAGCATGTGTAAGTATTAACTTGATGCCACATGACTTTATGGTTTTAATGACGTTATAACATTTATCATTCAGATACAAAATTAAATGATAAAGCATAGTACTGCAAAAAGCCCGTCAATACATACCTCTAGAAGGGATCCAGTTTACATCCAGCAAACATTCATTTGCCCTTATAATGTTCTAGCGTGTGCAGATACAGGCATATGGTCTTGTAAAGCATGTAAATCTCATATTCCATAATTAAATTGCTGAGCACGGCAGTTTGAGGCCCTTACAGAAATCACCCACATGTCCTCATCCTGCGGAGAGAAGGGGGGAGTTTTACCCAATGTGATAAATCACCCATCACTATACTGGAGTCATTCTGCTGACACCAGACTGTGGGAGTTCTGGGTGGCAAACTTTAATGTTTTCAAGTTCATTTTTTCATATACAGTATATAAGATTAACCAATTAAATAAAAAAATCCAAAAAAAAAATGGTGTGTGTGTATGTATGTATATATATATATATATATATATATAAATAAATAAATAAATATAT